GTGGTTATATTGGTAGAAGGATGTTGGAGATGGAGCTGCCAGGCAAGAGGTCAAGAGGAAGGCCAAAGAGGAGATATTTGGATGTGCTAAAAGAGGACATGAAGTTAACTGGGGTGAGAGTAGAGGATGCCGAGGATAGAGTTAGGTGGAAACAGATGATTCGCTGTGGCGACCCCTAACAGGAACAGCCGAAAGAAGAAGAATTGTAAATATCTAAATACATAAAATATTGAAAGCCCACCTATTGTTTATGGGATGTTTTATAATGACAAAAATCAGTTTACTTAAACTTTAAACACCACTGCCATAAAAAAATTAAAAGTAAAATTCAGTATGGCATATTTATTTATGACCCCATTCGGGATTAAGCAGTATAGAAAATGAGATGAGATGAAATATTTATTTATGATAAATGGGGAAAAGGTGAACAAATTATAAAGCTGGCTTTAGATCTATTTGACAATAGAACTGCTTTAGTTAACACTGAATATTACTGTAGGCAGCTCAAGGTCCACAAACTAACTTAACATGTTATGGCATCTGAGCAAGCGTATTTGCTAATGAAGACCTTGCAAAGGAAAGTCCAACAAAAGTTATGTTGACTTTGAGCTTGGATTATTTTATTACTACTGGTCCCAAAATAAATTTATTTAACTGTATTTAGAACAAATAATTTATAGCTTAATTAACTTAATCCAGTTTTTTAATGTGCCATTTGATTGAGGTCTCCTGAGAGTCAGTGGTTTGAAACAGCTACTGGTAGATATCAGCTCATTATTAGTAATCTGATACTGAGGCACGTGATTGGTGTGTGCATACAAAAAGAAGTCTTTGAAATATTCATGAGCAGGAAGGCCAGGAACACAGAGTACACTGAGCCACTATATCAGGTCCAAGCAGAGCTATGGGAACTGTTGAGGAAACTTTGAAGTGTCCCGCCTGCCAGGATTTCTTCACAGATCCTGTGACGCTCCCATGCGGACATGACTTCTGTCTCACCTGTATCCAGGCTGTCTGGGAAACAGATGGGTCTGGTGAGGGTTCTTTCTTCTGTCCAGAGTGTCATATATTCCTCTCCTCTGACCTTACTCTGAAGATAAACATCAGTCTTCAGACCAAAATAAAGGACTTTACCACTAACTTACCATCAGCAGCAGAGTTGCAACCAACAACTCCAAGCAGGGAAACTAAATCATCTTCAACTATTCAATGTGACCACTGCATAGAGGCACGACCGGTGGCCATAAGGACTTGTCTGACTTGTGATGCCTCATTGTGCCAGGCGCACACCCTGCTGCACCAGCAGAGGTCTACTCTGAGGAAGCACACGGTTGTGGATGTGACAAGCGATTTGCTATCTCTGAAGTGCAAGGATCATCATGATGAGCTCAAGTTCTTCTGTATGGAGGAAAAGGTACCTGTGTGCTGTATGTGTGTCCTGGTTGGCATGCACAAGAACCACAAAGCAACTCAACTCCATGAAGCCTGTGCAGACTTCAAGGTAAATATTAGTATTGCATAGTCATTGGCTTGTGTTTATTTGCTTGTTAATGGCATGATTATTGCTTTATTTCTCTCCCAGGCTGTTTATTTTCTACAGGCCTGTTGTATTTCTGTCTTTAGAGCATGTTAGAGACATCTATGAACCAACTGCTAAAGCGAAGATGTGACGCAGAACATGCCATCAAAGACCTGGAGTCACTGTATACACAAACAGTAGTACGATCAGTGCGAAATACTGTTTTAATCATCTATTTTTTTATTTACAGAAACCCCTCTCCCATGAATTTAAATGGTGTGTCTTTTTTTTTTTTCCTAGGAGTCTGCTGCAGAGTTCAGAGAAAGAATCTCAGACAAGTACAGCAGGATACGTGTTGTGTTGGACGGTGATGAGCGTCTGATGATGCAGATTATAGATGCAGAGGAAATATACATGACAGAGTGGTTGGACACCCAGAGGGACATCATTGAGGCCCAGATCAAAGAGATAGATAGCCTCAGAGCCTCCAGCAGATCACTTCTCGAGGAAACAAATGCTCTAAAATTCCTACAGGCAGGTTGATGGTACCTAATATTATGACTGTGTTACTATGATCATATGTTCAGATGCAGCCAAAACATTCTCTATGATTACAGCTTTGCACCGCAGTAAATTACCTCTTTATTTTCAACAGCAAATCACAGCGCAGAATCTTTGGTAGGTATATCATTACTTTATTTTTACTTTTTTTCTGTTATGGTTTTGCCTTCTATGACTTTCAGCTTTTATTGCAGTGACCCTATGGATCGAGCACCAATCCAAGCAGCCGACAAGGATCAATGTGAGCCTGAGAAGCTGAAAACAATAGAGAGGCTGGTGGATGAGCTCTCTGTGGCTCTGTCCCAACACTTTCCACGAATGTGGTCATGTTAGTAAGCAATCCAAATTTTGCAATTTAAACTCAACCTCCACTATCTCTGTGACTGTGTACTGAATGTGGATTTTTATTTGCAGATCTAAGTTCTCCTTCGCTGGACTCCAAGACAGCCCATCCAAATCTGGAAATATCCCAGGACAGGAAGCAGGTGTACTGGAGAAGACAGCCTGCCAGTGAAGCTTCTAGCTCTCAGCCATATGACTCCCAGTACAGCGTCCTGACTCAAGAAGGTTTTACTACTGGACAGCACTACTGGGAGGTCATTGTCCAGGAAAAACCCTACTGGTTGATAGGTGTGACCACTGGGACTGTCTATAAAAAAGATGGTCCAAGTCAGAGCTCCTCCAGCTTGGGCATGAACAACACATCCTGGTACATCTACCATGGAGATGGGCAGTACCTGGCATGTCATGATACCCAGGAGAAGCAGCTGTCAGTTGCAAGGAGAGTCAGAAAGCTGGGCATCCTGGCAAATCTCCAGAAGGGGGAGCTGTCATTCTATGATGGTGATGCTATGACTCTGCTTCACTCTTTCTGCGTGCCCTGCACCGAGATTCTGTACCCGATGTTAAACCCATGCATTGATGTGAATGGAGTGAACAGGCAGCCACTTACCTTGTTTTGGATTAAAGACCCTTGGGACTGGCATGTAAACAAAAATTGAAGAGTGAACTAAATTATTCACTGATCAAACTTTATTTTTTTTATTTACAATTTTCTTAATGTTTATTCTATTTTTGCTTAGATTTTATACATCATGTGGTGGAAAAGTCACCTCAAAGCTGAAGATTGTTGTTGACCAAATCACTTTCCCTGTCTGCTCCAGGTAAAACTATGACTGAGAAAACAATTACTTCTGTATTTTATAAATGTTATAGCTAAAGCTAAGATAGATGATGAACATACTACACATAGCTTTTTACCTCAACCCATGGGAGAGATGACAAGGCCCAAAATATGATATTATACTGTCCTGTATAACACTGTGATCCTTTAATGCTGTTTAATAGGAAATTAGAGCTGAGAATAATTATTTACTGTAGAATTTGTCTTTTATTGATTTTATGTTTTCCAATATGAATGTCATTTCTATAGTTTATAGTCATTTTTCTATTATCTTGAATTATTCACTTCAAGCCTTTAAACAACACTTTTTTGTGGTGAAGTCTAGTTACTCGTTCAGCAGCTTAGCAGCTTTCATGTTGGACTCTTCAGGAAGTAAATGAGCCTTGCATAAAATACTGGCTTGTTTTTTGTACAACTGACCCCTCAGCTCACCAGACCATGGAGTACATGTGCACCTTCAGTCTCATGTCAGTAGCCCTACAGAGCTGTTGCCCTACCATGACACAAGCCATCTGTCACCAAGGACATTTTCATACTTTTAAAGCATAGGCATAGCCACAAAAAACAGGATCCCACAGGCAGCTAATACCAAAATAACCTACATAAACTCTACATTTTAAGTCAGTTTGTGGACGTACACACATTCCAGCACAATGGCTCTCCTAAACTGATCAGGGGTGTAGCTATGAGTTCTGTGACACTTGGGCCTGCAGGACATACAGTAAAACATTAAGACACAAAACAGTCAATGACAAAACATATTGGTGTAATTTGAGGCAGCATTAAAATTGCTCGACTCATAACCAAACCCTTGGATACACTATTAAATTACTTTGGAGATGCTGCTTGGGTTTTTGACTTGACCCATTGAAGGAAGTGAATGACCCGTGTGTAGACCCCAGGCTTGTTCGCCTTCCCACACTGATCTCCCCAGCTCACCAAACCATAAAGGATGTGGGTATTGTTTTGTTTACAAGTCATTGGTCCTCCAGAATCCCCCTGAAACAAAAGAAATCAGCTGATCAGGTAGAAAACACACTACTGCTCACAACTGCTTAAGAACCTATTTCATATAAGTTAGTCACTTGGATATTCTAAATGATAGCATGCACCTAGCACATTTTCTCCACTAACCTGACAGGAATCCACCCCTCCCTTCAGGTGGCCAGCACAGATCATGGTATTATCCAGGAAGCGTCCATAAACACTGGGTTCAGAGCACTTCTGCTGGTTGATCAGCAGTACATTGGCCTGCAGCAGGTGGTTAGAACCATGTGATGCTGGGGGGATATGGTGGAAAAATGAGATTGTACAAAATATACAACAAATTCCACACAGTTGTCTTTCATTTCAGTGGCTGGTTGTTAAATTCAAACATTACAGGATCCTTTAAAATATGTTTTTTAAAAACAAACCAAAAATATCTGACTGATAATGACAGCTTTTGTTTTGTGACTGAATATGTAAAAGTGAACTTACATTGCTCAGTAGCACCCCATCCAGAAATGGTACACTCCATCCCATCAGGCAGTATGGCATCAGGCAGACAGGCTATCTTCACAAACTGGGTCTCATTGGCACAGACTCCATTAGCACCTTGCAGCCTCAGCAATGCTTTGGAAATGCAATTCAGATAAAAGTATGTTTACATATAGTACTGTTTGACTCTCAAAGTGATTACCCTCTCATCCTTTTTTAACTAAGGATCATGTTACAGAAGTAAGGTAATCTCAGCATGCTCTTTCATTTAGGCATTATAACTATCAGTAATATCAGTGTTTATTTGATATATGGTGAGAGTGAGACATGAGTCACCTATGTCGTTGTAAACAGCTGAAGAAGTCTCCCTGTAGCCCTCATGTACAATAGCCTGTTCAACTTTTATGGTTTGCTCTGTGGATTCATTTGTACCCAGTGACAGACCTCCCACAACCACCTGCATGTCATTTCTTTGTATACTGTTCAAACACAAGCAACACATGATATGATCCGGATTATGTCCACACAGGTAAATTATTATCATTATTATCAGTGTTCTGTGTTGGGGGTTTTTTTTGTGCATACATGCAGTGTCCAGCTGTCAGAACCCAGCAGCTCGCAATGAGAACTCCTCCACAGATGTGTCTGTATGGCTGGTTGGTGTTCTTTGGTCTCACTTCCAGAGACACCTGCCAGGGAATGGCCCCAGGAGAGACCTTCAGACCCCCAAAAATTCGGGTAATAGCATTTTTTGGCTGAGGTTTCCCACAGGTGGAGAATGGGAGTGGTGGAGGAGTGCCACTGGGGATGAAAGGACCACTGGTGGGTGTAGGAGGAGGGTGTGGAGCCTGACTGGGCTTCTCAGTCACTGAGGTTGTGATAGTCATTGGCCTAGGGTCTGCTGTAGGTTCGGGTTTTGTTGGATGAGGGGTAGGAGGGACAATTTCAGTTGGTGCCACACCTAAAAACACATATACAAGAGGATTACACTGTTTACAACTGCTTCTGTTAATCACAATCATAATCATAAAGTTTCCTGAAACTTTAAAATAGACCTGTTGGCTCAGGACACTTGGTTACATCACAGTAGTGCCATGTCAAGTTCTGGCCTCTTCTGAAGAAACACCAGGGCTTTTCCTCTCCATCTGGATTTCTGTATCATAGAAAGTGTGTGAGTGAACATCTTGTTTTAAATATAATCTGCAGTTTGTATACACTTATTTACTTTCTCCTGACCTGCAGAAGTTGTGAGGGCCAAGTCCATCTGTGTCCTCGAAGGATGTGAAGGGATTAACTCCTTTATTGAGGATGAAGTGAGAGTTCCAGAAGAGGCATTCATCACCATCATCTGTCTCACTGACACTACCACGATATGACTCGCCATCATCCACATAGCAGTCATTTGGGCCTAGCAAATATATCATACTCAGTCAGCATAATTTTTTAAACATGTATATAAAAGTAGAAAATGGAAAACAATAAAGTGAAATTTTTACCAACATGGCAGAAACGTCCCCTGTACCCTGAAGGGCACTGACAGTCAAAGTCATTACCATCCTTGATGCATTGTCCTCCATTTCTACATGGATTAGGATTACATACTGAAACTTTGGAGAAGAACAATACACAGTTTAAGTGTTTCCTTCCAGGAAATGTATAAACTAGAATAAAAGAGGTGTTCTGTTTAATCTGTATGAGGAAATGCTCCTTACAGGTCGTGCAGTGTGGAGGCTGGAAGGGCTGTTTGCATTTGCACTGGTAAAACGGGGGACTTGAAGTAAGCACACATTCACCACGGCCACATTTACCTCTTGCACAAATTTTAGGACCTGAGATGATAACACAATAAAGAAAGTGTTTAAATATTAATTCATTTTTGCTCATTATATATTGTGCATATATGACCAGTTTGCAATCTAACAACAGCATAAAGAAGAGTGCATTTTTTTCTAACCTTTCTCACATCTCTTCCCTTGATAAGGATGGGGACAACGACACTTGATTTTTTTCTTTCCTTTCTCCTCACACACTCCATTGTTGAAGCAAGGGTTGGGCTTGCAATTGCCTGAAAAAATGAGAAAAGGGAAACCTAAATTAGAGTTGTCCAGTGTAGTGTAGACTAGTAAGCCAAGGGAATGCATGTGAAATTATTGGGCAGAATAAGATGAACTTTACTCTCTTACCATGAGGCTCTTGAAGTTCAAAAAGCCAGTCTAAATGATTAGAATCATCATCATCATCATCATCACCTCCCTCTGTGATCTGAAAGAAGAAGTCTAAAACAATATTCTTCCATTATTCATAAAGCACTGATTCTCTCTTAGCCTTTAGTAGTAAGATATTTACTCTTGTTTATAGTACTGTGAGTACTTATGGGATGCTAAAGGTGTTTTAAATGAATAAAAGCACACATTTACCTTCAATTATGTCCTTAAATCTTCCTTTCCTTTTCATATGTTGGCCCTGTTGAGGACTCCCAGAGCTCAGATGCCCATCATCATGATGTTCATGTGTACCATGCGCATGGTCGTGATGTCCATGTCCATGTCCATGTCCATGTTGATGTTCTTTGTCCTTTTTATCTTTCAGCTGGAAAATATTAATCATCACCAATGACAGCACCACATTAAAATCATAACAATAAAAATAATGTGCAGTTTCTTAATAGAATGTCAAAAGGACTGCAGAGAACATTTTTGCAGACCCCTCACAGCCTGGACACACCTCCCCTCTGGACGGTGTGACAGGACACTGTACGCCAAAACAGCCAGATGCAAGGCGAATTTCTTCCCCTGTGCCATCACACTGATGAACACTTAACCCATGACTGTATAAAAGAACTCATCTGTCAGTGCAATACCTTGTAAATGTACCATTCTACTGTATATATCTATCTGGTAAAGTCCACCTAAAATGTGTGTTTATACATATATATTTGTAAGTACTTTTATTTTCTTGCTTCATTTTCTGTCCTAAACGCACATTCCTTCCTCTGTTTCCTCGTTTCCTTATGAAGAACCTACACATTGACAGCCACTGCACCGGAGTGTGTTCAACACACATGGCCAATAAAGCTTATTCTGATTCTGATATTTCTGACAAGTTAACATTACTACTGGCAAAAGTAATGCATTAATCTTTTTAAACAACAGCAAGCTGAGCCACATTTTATTCATAGCAGACTTCATCAAATATTGCAAATAAAATCCAGTGCATGTACTAAACAATTTCTGTGCAATACCAGTATATACACTGAATACATACTTCAGCAGGTACGAGCAGCGCTGCCAAGAAAAGGCAAAAGAGGATGAGCTTTAGGTTCATGATGGTTTTAGATCAGAATGTGTCCAGGAGAGTCGAGTGAGAGTCCACTGTCTGGTAGATCACTCACACTAAGAATTTGTACAAGTACACAAACCTTTGAGTCACCGGGGTTATCTGGCAACCATCCCTGCTGCTGAGTCAGTTTTATTGATTTTAACTGTGCTTTTGGAAAGTTCTTTCTTTATGCTAATAATAAACAGAATACAGCTCATAAATACAATAAACAATTAATGATGGAAAATTAAGATCACTCTCTCTGCCACCCTCAAAACATTTTGGTCATTGACATTCATTAAAATGAATGCACTCTGATGCAACATGAAGGCTCAGAGAGTATATCTGTTTGTTTGAATGTAGACTTTGGATCCACTACACTGGGTGCATCTCTCAGATCTCACTGCAAAATCAATAAAGTGTAATTCATATATCATGATTATAAGCTCAATAAAATACAGTATATCATGTCATAATGTGTATATCATTAACAGTAACATTTCTAATTCTTTTTACAATATCTTGCCATAAAAGAAGAATGTGTGTACTTAAAAAATTGTCTTTATGGTATTTTTTCCTTACATTAATGAGGCACACCGCTGCAAATAATTCTGTATATTTATCCGAAAGTTCAATGTATACATACAAACCCCAATTCCAATAATTGTTATCAGCTCAAAGTTCAACAGCCAGCATCTGTGATGGTATGGGGGTGTGTTAGTGTTCATGGCATGGGTAACTTGCACATCTGTGAAGGCACCATTAATGCTGAAAAGTATACACAGGTTTTGGAGCAAAATATGCTGCCATCCAAGCGACGTCTTTTTCAGGGACATCCCTGCTTATTTCAGCAAGACAATGGCAAACCACATTCTGCACGTGTTATAACAGCGTGGCTTCGTAGTAAAAGAGTGCGGGTACTAGACTGGCCTGTCTGCAGTCCAGACCTGTCTCCCATTGAAAATGTGTGGCGCATTATGAAGCACAAAATACAACAATGCAGACACCGGACTGTTGAGCAACTGAAGTCATACATCAAGCAAGAATGGGAAAGAATTCCACCTACAAAGCTTCAACAATTCCACCTCAGTTCCCAAAACACTTATTAAGTGTTGTTTAAAGGAAAGGTGATGTAGCACAGTGGTAAAAATACCCCTGTCCCAGCTCTTTTGGAATGTGTTACAGGCATCAAATTCAAAATGAGTGAACATTTGCAAAAACCAGTAAAGTTTATTAGTTTGAACATTAAATATATTGTCTTTGTGGTGTATTCACTTAAATATGGTTCAAAAAGGATTTGCAAGTCATTGTATTCTGTTTTTATTTACATTTTACACAATGTCCCAACTTCATTGGAATTGGGGATTGTACATGCACTAAACTAAATGTGTAGTGACTCCTTATAAGGAACTATCTTCCTACTAGACTTTGACCACTTTGTGCCTTTATATATTCCATTATTTCAAACAGAAGCAATTCAGTATCAACAAGGGTATCCTTTTCTAATATGGCACACTTTAAAGTGTTTCCAAGTTGTAACTAATAGCTTTAACAATAGTAATGATGGTGATGATGATGTTTAATATATGATTTTCCTATTCCAGCATGAAACTTTGGCAAATTGTTAGCTTGCTAACATGTGAAACACTAATTGTGAAGACAGTAAATGTTATACCTGCTACATATTGACAAGTTAGCATAGCTCAAAGCAGCCTTATAGAGCACCTGGTATGGCTATAAACTTTTAGTCTTCTTTAATTCTTAATAAAGTCATAACCTACATATCTACAAACTGTACATAACTGGTGTCTTAGCAAGGAATTACTACAAACGTCTGTGGAGCTACCAATCAGAGATCACTGGTAGGAGAAGAAGTATTACATATTACAATAGGCTTTGCATTTGTGCCACTGTGGTCATGCCCAGGACACAGGGCCAGGTGGAGGCAGTCCGAGAAGGTTGCGGCACAGAAGGAGAACAGTGGCATCATGTTGTCTGCTTCAAGAAATGTCACCAATCCTGCAGGAAAACTACACAAAACACCAATCCGACAGAAGTGTTTTGTGAAAGGCAGCTGATGTGGCACTCCTCCATGCCAGGCTGTATACTCCCCATCAAAGAACTCCACACACCAAGATTCATCCCCCCGGCCCAGCCAGCATTCCTCAGTGGTGCCCTTGCGGGGAATGGTGGGATAGGTGACACCTAGCTCCCAGTAAGTCTTCCCAGCCACATCAATTTCCCAGTAATGGCGACCAAAGATGAAGCCTTGCGAGCTGATGACGTTGAGGGTGGTGTCAAAGCGTCCAGGGAGGTTAGGAAGTTGCTGCCAGGTGTCTGTGTAGGTGGCACTATCACCTTTGGAGGATATGATCAGCTTTGGGTGGGCTGTCTCTGGATCCAGACACACCTCACTGGAATCTGGAGACACATATTTAACATTCTTAATCAGGAAAATCTGAGGTGTTGTGGTTATTATTTTTTTAGAAAAAAAATGTGTGAACTGACAACTATTGACGAGTTTCTTGATTATAGGGGTTTGTGAGCAGATGAGCACAAGCATGTTGTTGGTGAGACTGAGAATCTGTTCAGCTTTAGCCTCGTCCAGGCTCACACTGCTTGGGTCTGTCCTGTTTAGCAAATCCATCACTCTGGAGGAAGCACACCATAGTAACAAACATCAGCTGCTGCTCCACTACTTAATACTGAAGCTTTTATTATTATTAATTATGATTTGATTTCATACCTGTTCACCGTGTCCATGTCATGTTGCTCAGAGGATGAAAAGAAAGACTGAAGAAAAGTATGAAAATCAAGATTAAATGTACTGTGGAAGCAAAATGTTTCACATCACATGGTATATTTAGTTGCCATTCACACACAAAAAGGTATTAAATCATACATTATTTGTTTAACTGGGTTTTATCACTGTCAAGTTTAATCACCATTATATCAGGATTTGTGTCTGTCTGGTCCAGTGCCACAGTGAGTCTGGCCAGCTCTTGCTCTATCTCCTGAATGAGAGAACAGTTCCTCTCCATTAGCCCATCCAGGGCAGAGAAAGCAGCCCTCTCCTCCATCTCCAGGTGGGACAGGGTAACCTTCAGGTCCTCATCCAAGATGGTCTGAATCTCCTGATATTTCCGTATGATGCTCTCCTTTATCACTGAGGACCTTTTCTGAATCGGGCATAAGCATTTAACAGTTTATACTGCTTCGTATAACTACTGTGTAGTCATTGTGTTGCAGGAAAACTGAAAAAAATATTTAATTTTCTAGCACATAGTATCTCAATATACACATAGAGTTCATGTTATGGCAACATTTCAGCACTGACTAGTCTGAATGTGACTTACTGTGATTTCTGACTGTCGTGCTGCTAGTTTCCTCAGTCTGTATTTCACTGCTTCCCTTTGATTCTTTAGAAACTCTTGATGTTTTTCTAATGTTTCCTGTAGAAAGGGTTGCACATATACAGTATGCAGCACAGTTCAAATCAACACCAACCAAAGTGACTTTAGAGCACATTCAGAAGCAGAAGCAGTTTATTACGAGACTTGAACAAAGCTGAGATTGACTGATAGGAGTGTGGAACATATTTTGTCTCTCTGACTGCTTATTAAAAGACCTGCCATATTTGATGGATTCTAGTTTCCTGC